CTCTGTCTCAAAAAAAAAAAAAAAAAAAAAATCTGATCTCCAGTCCTGGGAGTTCTTGCCAGGGAATTAAGAGACGTGTTGCTCCATAGCTATGTGATCTTGGATTCCCATTTCTGAGTCTCCATTTCTTCATCTACAAGGTGAAGTGGTTTGAGCAGGGAACTATTGAACAGTTCTCAAACATGATTGTGCATACACAGTCCCCGAGGGCTGCCACCCATGATCCCCAGGCCACGCTGACAGGTACCTGTCAGTGGCCTATTAGGAACTGGGCTGCGCAGCAGGAGGTGAGGCACAGGTGAGCAAACTCAGTTTTCTCTTTATTTACCGCATCTTCCCATCACTCACATCACTGCCTGAGCTCCACCTCTGTCAGCTAAGCATTAGATTCTCACAGGAGCGCCCCACCAATATTTTAATGCTTTTTTTACTATATTTTATAAAATTATTGCCCTGGGATGGATTGGTCCTTTACCACAGATCATTTAAGAAGCACTGTTCTCCTTGACTTAAGCTTTATGAAACTAAAGTGAATGTCACTAAAACATTTGTACCCCTTTAACATTTTGAAATTAAATTTTAAAAAGAAGCATGGTTCTAAGTTGCTCATGCTTACTTATCAAGTTCATATACCCTCTTTTGATACAATGCTTTTAGAATGCTTAAGGCTGTGAATTGATCTAGGTTTTGATAGGAGAGTAAATGAGATAAGGTTTAGCAAAGCACCATCCATAGGGCCCAGCACTAATGTAGACTGAATCGATCTCTTGTTTAATTAGAAACATGTGACACATACTCCTTTTTAATGAGATGGGGACAAGAACTTGCACCAGCTTCCTCCGATCTAAATTTGTATTTACAATTATGGCCCCACTGAATAGCTGCCCCTCTCGTGCTTGGTTGTTGGTTTTATTTTATTCCAAGGTTAGATTATAAGGACAGCTCATAAGATAGCTGTGATGTGTCATCCTCTGATGAATTTCTAGGCCAGCCTGTGTTTGACATCTAGGCCTAGACAAACTGCCCAGAGGAAAGGATGCGCCCAGGTTCCGGTCCTGCTCAGCCAGGTGTTTTGGGGTCAAATCTCATCCCTGTCTGTAATTTTTTCCTCATTATCTGTAAAATGATGCCCAGGTAGCACCTACTAAAGCTTAACAGCAGTCCTACCTTCTGATCAACAATCTCAATTCTAGATTTACCAACAAAAATGAGCATGTGTGTATGCAGATACATGCTCTAGAAAGTTCGCAGCGGTGCCATTCAAATGCCTATTTACAGTGGAATTGATAAATAAATTATGATAGTCATGGCAGTGAGGATGAACAATTTGCAGCTACAATAGCAATATATCTCACAACATAATGTTGAATGAAAAAAAGACATAAAAGAGTATGTATCATTTTATCCATATAAAGTTTAAAAAATAGGCAAAGCCACACAATGATGTCAGGAGTCAAAATAGTGATTAGTCTTGGGAGGGGTAGTGGCGAGAATGGGCTGGGGTTGGGTAAGGGGGAGACCATTGCAGCTGGTACTGTCCTGCTTCTTTATCTGAGTACTGGTTACGTGAATATATGCACGTTAACAATGAATGGAACATTATACTTAGTAATTGGAATAAATTTCCTCTGTGTGTATTGTATTTCAACAAAAATGTGCAAACTTATCACAAAAATGATTACTTTTTAAAAATGAAGCCATGGGGTTACCTGCCCTGTAAAGTCCCTTTTATCTCTGTAGTCTCCTTTTCCAACTCCTTACATGACAAATGTCACTTAAAACTCCATGGGTCCTAAACTAGGTCAGTTCTGTCCCCAGCCTTTTCCTCAGGAGATCACATTTCTGGCTAAATTGGTGCTGCCCTCAGCTACCCAGCAGCCTCCTATCCTGGTCCTGTCACTTCCCTTAATAATTCCCATAGTCAGGGCTTTGTGATTTACAAGGCAGGATCACTTAGTGGGAGAGGATACAGGATCAAATATCCATCTGTAGTCAAATACCTGCGCGATCTTGCACAATTACTTAACCCCTCTGTGTCTTAAGTTTTCTGGTCACAAAATGCGTAATTGCCCCAGAAAGTTGTTGAGGGGAGCAAGAGAGTATAAATAAACAACTCTGTTTCGGTTCAGGGGCTGGCAGAGAGTAGGTCTTAAGTTCAATAAATATTGGTTATTATTAGTACCTCATTGGAGACTCATACACGACATCATCATCACCTCTATTTTATGGGCAAGCAATCTGAAAGTCAGAGAATTTAA